TATTTTTGGGGGGCACACAAGCAGGCCTGGATAGAAAGAAATACATACAGAGTAAGAAAGAAAGAAAGTGCTGAAAATAGGAACACATGACGCTCGGAATGATGGGTGAAGAACACCAAAAACAAAAAACAAACAAACCAAAACTTTCAACTAGAAGGGCAATAGCAGCTCACATTATGTTCACTCCGTCCTGATGCGGCGATAGGCAGAGCATTGTTGCAAGAGAAGCAATTTTTTTTCAAGAGTAGTAGCAGTAGTAGTAGAAGAAAACACATACACACAAACACACAAACACACACACAGCTGTGTTACCACGGTAATTGAACCCACACAGCAATAAGTGTCTCCCACGCAAAAAACAATGCATCAAAGCCATTGCCGTTATTGTCTTCAATTTCCTGTTCATGCCTCCTGAATAATGGAGCCTGGCTGCTTCTGACCATTGGCGTGGTTGCCGTCCCTGGGAACTCAGAGGGACGCTCCTTCAGTAACCCCTCGCTCTCCGTCGCTGCTGCCGCCGACGCGGAAGCCCCAATAAACCCCTCACCACCGCCCTCCCCGTTCACGACAGAAGGTATAACGCCAAACATGGCGTGCGGGTCAAGCAGACCACCCCTCTCGCCGGTAATCAGCAGGTACGCAGTACAAGTGAAAAGAACGCTGTACAAAAGCCACAGACCCCACCCTGGTCCACACAGCTGCCAAAAAATGGCGAGATTCACCGCACATATCTCACGCACCTTCGCCACAAGGGCAACGCAGTACCGGAGCCTCGGCGTGTACCAACGGCGAATAGAAGCCTCCCGCCGGGCCGCGCTCACGGCGACGTGCACTACACTGTCGTACCACGCTTTTGCCAAGTTTTTCACCGGTGACGCCACTGTTACCCAAAATTCCTGCCAGGCCCTCCACCACTTCATGGTCAGCGATGTCCCCTCCACTGCGGCGGGGAGAACGGGCGTGCTGCTAAACTCCCATGAGGAAAGATGTGTGACCAGAAGAAATGGGCCTGCGAAAATCATTTTCAGCGTCACAAGAAGAAGCCGTAAAAAGGAACCGATAATGAACATGATGGACCACAACAACTCAAACACAAGAGAAAAGGGCGTTTGCAGCAATCTCCCAAGAATGCGTAGTGGAGATATAAATAATTCCAGTAAGTAAAATTGCGAAAAAAAGCTCGTGAAGGAAGCAGCTACCGTCACGCCAACAGATATGATATAAGTTGTCAACATGGAGAGACGGAAAGTAACATGTTCCTCAATCCACTCCAGTAACGGTGCCAATGTGGTGGCTACAAAAGTCTTCATCCGTGGCAAATGCTTGTAAAGATCGTACAACCCCACAAAGAGAGAGATAAGAGGCCAAATGTTCACAAGCCCTACAAAAATCAAACGGAATACACGGCGGTACGGCAAACCAGTAGAGGCAAGAAAGATCGTCCACGCTGGCATCCCTGTTTCGTACATGGAAAGCATGCGGCGCTGTTCTTTAAGAGAAACGGTATAAGGATGTGTTCCTGGCTCAGGCATCAGAACTTCTCGCAGTACAGCATTGAAGTTTGGGTCCTCTGAGTATACAGTTATAATTGTATCAAAGTGTGCCGTGGTAAGTGTGGGCAACAGACGGGGACGGATGCTCGGCTCACTAGCAATGGCGTGATCCCGAGATGGGGATCTTTGTGTGGAGAAAGGGGTCATCACATCTCGGTAGCTGGGATGGTGCAGTTCACCATGAGGTCCATATGCACACTCGGCTGCAGTGTTTACCGGAATTAAATGCTGGATGGATCGATCGTATTGATGCCGTTGCTTGACTTGTCGCGTGTTTCTAGACAAGTTCGGAGATTCCGGTAAGCTGGAGAGCGATGTTTGGCCCTCATTCCAAAGAGGAAGCAGCTCCGTTTGCTCACCTAAACTTACATCATTTCTGTCCGTAATTGTGAGATCAAGTAATTCTGTCGTCATTTCTTTGCGGGACGGTAGTGGTGTCTCTTTGCCCATGCCCACCACACCCATCCGTGGTGTCGTGTTCATTGTTGTTGCTGGCGCCAAACCATCCCCCTTGTACCCATTTTCAATGGTAGCAGAACCAAGGCTTTGGCTTGGTTTGTACGGATCTCGCTTCGGGCGGCACGGCATTCTGTTGGTTACCCCTCGAAGCGTTTGTTCCTCCATCAGGCGAAGGTCATCCAGGCAGTCGTAGTACGTAAGTGCACCTTCCAATGTGGAAAAGTAATACGCATACACAGCCTTGGACTCGATGGCAAACCTACTAGATGATAAACGTGGACTGTAGTCTGTTGCAGTGATATCCTCATGTCTTACCTCAATGACTTCCACCCCTACTGCTGTTGCCTTCCCACAAACACCAGCGGTACTATTATGGGTGCTATGAGTATTCATGGTGGCCCCCAGTCTGTGGTCCCGCTTCTCACCGCGTCCAATATGTGGCTTGCAAGGACGATGCTTCCCGCCCTCCGCGTTGAACGAAAAGGACTCTGTGGCAGAGGTGGAGAATTCATAACTGTTTGAAACCGGCCCCAAGACTGAGGCGCTTTCTCCCAATTTCGGCAAGACACTCTCTGAAGGACCGAAAGGCGGCCTCTTGAACAGTTTGCCCTTCCTGTACGCAAAACACGGCGGCGGGCCGTATATTTGATCACGAAATTTATGCCATCGACCCACTGATTCGTCGTCCGCCTTTGGCTCAACAGGACTAATAAGAAAGACGAAACGATCCCGTGGCCGAGCACTGTGAAGCCAACGCACGTCATGCCCAATGACTTCGCCATCCTGGAGGCGACGGTGACTGAAGTAATCCCATCCGCCCGCCACCGTTCGCCAACCACCGAGCGACAAGTAATGCAGCAAAAGAGGCGGCTGACTGTCAATACCATCCGGATAGAAAACACTCCAGTGATGCGGACTTGGCATGGAAACGGCGGGGGGCAGACGGTCAAATAACGGCGACAGAGTGGGGATAACTTTCTCATCTAAAGAAATTGGAGTGTTGGATCGCCCTTGGAGCGGAATTCGCCTCACGGGTTCACCACCTGCGGGTTTTCCTGCTAAAGAAAGAAGCGGGCTGGTCCCACGCCGTCCACTCACAGAAGATGTGGGGGAAGTCTCACAAGTGTCCCGTTGAGGCATCGTCCGTTTCTCATCCTTTGAAAGTTTCCCTTCATTCGCTTTATGCCCGCGAGCATCACGACTCCCGTTGATCTCCTCTCCCTCCCCATCCACCGCATGACATGGGAGTCCGGACTCTGAATGTTCACACTGCCATGCCGTGGAACTGCAGGCATTTTTTTTTTCTTCGCAGTCCTCCGTGCCTAAATCATGGGACGAGTTGGAGGGCTCGGTTTGACGGCCAACGACAGCCCCAGGCAAGGGGGACGTCGGTCGCGTCCTGCAAGCACCCGAAAGACTGCAGAGAAAAGGCTCATTCCCGTTGGATGGGTGTGGCTCACTATACGCTGTGCCCCCTCCTTTAGAAACTAATGGAACAAAAGAAATATTATTCTTCACGTCTCTTGCTGGATTTGACGGCATTACACGCCTCCTTCCTCTCCTCTCCAGCCCTGTCTTTCTTTTATAAATATAAATCAAATATATAAATATATATTTATACAATTCTGTGTTTATTTCACTGGACTCTCCACCTAGGATACCAAAGTCGTTCGTCCAAGTGATTCCCTGCCTTCTCTTCCTTTCCCTTATTCCTTTCCTGTTGTGTCTGTGTATACCGACAAAGAAGAACGCCTATATATATATATATATATATATATATATATATGCAGAGAGAGAAAGAGGGAAAGTGGGAGAGTGAGTGCTTCGGGGATCGTGCAACAATTTGAAATGAAAAATATGTCCCGTTTGACACCCCTCTGCGTCGTCAGACGAGAAGCGGCAGGCAAAAAAAAAAAAAAAAAAAAAAAAAAGAAGGGGACTCTCGTTCGCGTTGCCCTTTACACCGACACCTCCTCACTACCTTCTCCTCCTACTCTTGGGGCAAAGTCCTGTTCCATCAGTGGCAAAAAGCAAAAAAAAACAAATACGGCAGAAAAAAACACAGGGGGCAACTGCGACAGCAGCCAACAGTGCTGTGAGGACAGCTGGGGGGCGAACGATCCAACACCACCTGACAATTTGTCAATAAAAAGCCTCCTCTCCTTCCCACACACACACACAGAGAGAGAGAGAAAGAAATACAAGTGTGCAGTTATTTGGCTGTTGTTTCAATAATACCCGTGCGCTCCACAAAAAAAACAAACAAACAAAAAGCAAGCAAACAAACAAAAAGAATACACCAAAAAAAGGGAAAAAAAATAAGTTCATTCGCACTCATGCATACACACCGCCACACGTCCATGCATATACATTTCACATAGGAACATCGATTATACGTGGAATCAAAGGGGGAAAAAAAAGACGCGGTCGAAGTACAAACAACTAAACAATAATAATAATAATAATAATAATAATAAAAGGGTATTTATTTACCTTTTCTTCCCATTCATCAACAAAGAGCAGAATTTACCGTTCGCCGGCGATTTCTTCCTTGGGCTTCGTGGGCGTCCATACACGGTAGTGGAGCTCCCCTTCCTTCGGCATGTACACCACTACTGGCAACTTGCTGTTGTAAGGGATAAACGGCCTTTCTGCCATGGGGACAAATTTCCTTACCGGCGGGGAGCCTGGCGACACTGCCATGAGTGTCGTTGCCATCGGGCCCATCTCCACAACGTAGTAATTGTACCCCCAACCAGGAATGGTCTTTTCCTTCACGCTTCCTGCAATAAAGCACCTATTAACGGGGTCTACCTTCATTACTCGTCCCGGGATAAGCTGCAGTTTGTATTCCTCCAGCTCGGAATCGTAGTCCTTCTCCTCAAGGAAGATGACGTACCGCTTCTGATTGGGAGTGGCCTCGGGGTACGGCGCCTGGTAGTCCGCAAGCGTCTTCGGAGCCGTGGACATTTATTCTTTTTCGCGCCGGCTGTGTAATAAACACTGGAAAATAATCAATACCTCTACAGAGCGAGAGAAATACAAGAAAAAAAAAAAGAAGAGTACACCGCATGCAGAGGCAAAGAAGCTGATATGTACATAAACTCCTCAATAAACACTTCTACCAGGAGAGAGAGAGAGAGAGGGTGAAAAACAAACTCCTCCACGACGGTGAGTGCGCATCTCCCCCCTTCAAGGGCGGCACCTGGTCTATTGCATTGTTGTAACGGGTTCGTTTGCCTCCTCTTCTGTGGCTTCGTCTGTTTGTGACGCAAAGGAGCCAAACTGTCTGTTCCAGTCCACATATCGCATCACCTCAGAGGCCCCCACACTCGGACGGATGCGCTTCAACGCCTGAACAAAGTCTTTTCGTTGAATGGGCCGCAGATCATGGAGAGAAACATCTGTGAGCCGCACCGTGACCTCCCGCAATGGCCCCATCGCAGCCTCCCGGCAAACCTGCTTGAGATCTGCCCCGGAGTAACCCGCCGTGGATGCTGCGACTTCCGCAATGTCCTTTTCAGCTAACGCGTGTACGACGTATCCCGTATGTTCCTCAACTTTCCCCTTTTCTGAATGGTTCTCCTGCTCTTGTTGTTGTTGTTGTTGTGCCTCCATCGTATGAAGAAGTCGTTTGACAAGTTCGATACGTGCTGGGCCGTCGGGAAGAGGAATGTACAGTCGCTTTTCCATTCGTCGTCGTGCAGCCTCGTCCAACTCATCAGGTCGATTTGTGGCGCCAATGAGAAGGACGCGATCGCCTCGATCCGTCGCCACACCGTCTAGCTGCACAAGAAATTCCGTCTTGATGCGCCGAACGGAATCCATTTCCCCCTCACCCCGCATCGAGAGCAGAGAGTCAATTTCATCAATAAATATTACACTCGGCTGCTTCACGACGGCCACCGCAAACAGGCATCGCACCAACTTTTCCCCATCGCCCATCCACTTTGACATCAGAGAGGAGGCACTAATGTTCAAAAAAGTGCACTGCGCACGATTGGCAATGGCGCGGGCGATCATTGTCTTCCCTGTTCCCGGCGGACCAAACAGCAGTAGTCCGCGTGGTGGATCACGCAGTCCCACAAAGAGATCGGGCCGGCGTAGTGGCCACACGATTGCCTCCTCCACACTTCGCTTCGCATGCTCAAGTCCCGCGATGTCGTCCCATCCCACGTTCGCAGCCCCGGCCCCGTGTTCCAGGATTTCCATCGCAACTTGGGTTACAAGCTTTGGGTCGAGAGGCTTTAAAATAGGCGGCACAGATCCATCCGGAAGAAGCAACGACGCCGGAAACTCACTGCACTCACTGTCGCTGTCGTCGCGGTCTTCTGCAGTGCCGTGACCGCCACGCACCCCTCGCGTCGTTGAGTCGTGGGACCCCTTCGTGGAATTCTTGTGAATCGAACTCAACACCTCACCAACGAACGTTGCCGAAGATACGCCTGTTGTTGCGCTCGGAGCATCACTTTTTGGGGGCGGTGTCGACTGCCGCTGTTGTTGAAACGGAGGTGTGAAGCTGGAACGCCGTAGACCCAACGCGGGTGTTCGGCGCTGCAACGAGAGACTCGAGGGCGCAGTTCTTCCAGCCCTCACATCCGCCACCAGCTGCTCACCCGCAGTAACGAATCCGCCGTTGTTTTGCCCTCCCACTTTGGCATGAGCCTCCCCAGTTTCATCCAGTCGCCTCTTTGAGATCACTGCACGAATTCCACCACGGGGCTCTCTTGCATTTATGCCGCGTTTCACTCCTTCCGCGGCAGCCTTTTCAACGCTCTCGTCCGTCAGCCATCCTTCAGGTAATGGATGCGGTCTCTGCTCGATGGCGAAGAGCGGTGGTGCGGTTGGTTGAGAAGTAAAAGAGGGCTGCAGCCGCGGCGCCTCGCTGCCAACGGTAAATGGTGAGGGTCCGGATGCTAAACCCGATGTGTGTAATGAAGATATGGCCGGCGCTTGTGCGAATGAGAGTTTGCCGCCGCAGTCCAAACCTAGTTTCATTTGGCAATTGGCTTGGGAGGTGGCCTGCAAATTAATGTCGCCTTGAAGTGCGGCTTCTGGCTCCCGCTGAGTCTCCAATGGCTGCTGCTTCTGCTGAATGGTGTTGTTGCTGATCGGATTCCCCCGCGACGGACTGACTGTGGGCAATGCTGGATCGTCCTGGAATGAGCGAAGAAGGCCTCCATCGACTTTTAGTGCAAAGGGCTGCCGCTTGCCCAAGCGCCGCCCTTTCAAACCGCTGGTCTCCTCCGTGTCTGTCCGCAACCTCTTAACCCCCGCCTCGCTCTGAGGATTCGGATGAAGATGATGATCCGGCGCAGTTTCTGCGTCGCCATCCTCATGCTCCATTGGTAGGACATCTTTTCCCTTCCCTCCTTCGACATGGGTTCCGGCGGCAATCATCGGTCCATCCAACAAGACAGCCCGCAGCGCTGGGGATGAGTTCCGCACGCAAAGAATAGTTTCCCTCACGTCCGGTGCTCGTCTCTCCGCTGGCTGCCGAACGGCCTCAAGCAAGGCCTCGTTGGCGGGGCACTTCCCCTCTATTATAGATATTGTGGCGCCAAGCGCCATGGTGCGGTTCATCCAGAGCAGCTGCGCCAATTCCTCCGCACTGCACAGAAGTGCTGCCTGATCTCCTGCAGCGGACTCGTCTCCGCCGTCCTCGTTGTTTCTCTGTTGCTTGCAAGAATGAGCGACGAGCGTGGACTCGAGTTTGACAGCTCGCAGGTGATCCTGCACAGTGTGGGCGATGAATTGCGTCAGGCGTCGCTCTATCGAATTGCGGTCCTCAGCGGCAACAACACCCCCTTCCGATTTCCTTTCTCGCTCCTCATGAAGTTGAGTGAGACGGCGCTCGCTCGATGACACCGCGGCAAACACGGCACGCCGTAACCGCCGTTCTGTAGATGGAGAAGGTATTAAACCGGGTTTCGATGGCGGCGCGGTCTGCTCCTCGTAAATGCTGCGCAGACAGGCAAACATCACCAACACCACTTTTTTCCCCGCGGAAGAACGTAATTCCCCGCAGGAGAGGGAAAAAACAACAACAAACAACAAACAAAAAACAAAGACGGCTAAACAGAAATAATAATGGCCAATGCAAACACGTGCCACCAAGACCATTCCGGAAGCCAATAAGAAAACAACAACAAAAGAAAAACAAGAGATCAATGCGGACACGCAACACACAATTCTGCATCCGCCCCCGTGTACAGGAAATGAGGTGGAAGAGAGCAGCAAGACACCAAAACACACACACACACACACACAGAAGTAAGGACTCGCAAAAAGTTCATCATTGCTGGCCATCATATCCTTTCAGCTCCTGCTGGGTCCTATTTCTTTTTCCTCCACTGTTCCTCTCTCCTCCCCGACCAGCCCCGTCAAGTGTTCCTCGGTCACTCACATGCAGAGCAGGAATGCAGGGCCCAAAGCAGCAGCAGCATCAGAACCATCGCTTCTCTCAGTACCCAAAGGGCTGCCGTCCCGTCATGCAAAGCGTTTTCCAAATCATCCAGGGACGCGGAGTCACTTTCATTGCCAACGGCGAGAATAAACTCATTGGCAGGTGTTCCAAGCACCGGCTGCCCTGCCCCTAAATCCCTCCTAAAGATCATCCCACAGAAGAGCTCCATCACATCTTTTATCCACATATCCAGCGCTGTCCTCTCCAGCTGCAGCTCCTGCTCTTGCAGTGGTGAATGGTGCGTCACCTCCTGAACCTCTTTTACCCCTGCGCACAGTGGCGGGCTAAAGCACAGCGCCAAAAACTCTGATATACCGCAATTCCAAACAGAACTGGACTCGGATGGCAACAGCGTCGACGGCCGAGTTCGACGTTCATCACACCAGCGCTGCGCTCGCAAAAGCGCCTCATGAAGGACTTCATGTGGCGTTACCCTGCTGCAACCAGCCGGATAGATTACATTTCCTGGAAGCACAACGTTATCGTTTGCAGTGGCCTTGTCGTAGACAAAGGCGTAAGGCCCGAATACCTCGCGTGGTATGACACGTTTCACACAGCGTCGAAGTTCAGCCTCAGCGTGGCGCCAGGCGCTTTCAGAGGGGGTATCCACGGAAGATGACGGCGGCGACGTTGCCAAAAGAAAAGGATCCTTTGCGACACCGACGAGAGCCTCAACTGCCACATTCATCGCAAATTGAGAAAGGGCGTTCTGCACCCATTCAGAGGCCAATGGTTCCATCCGTCGCCCTAAACTTGCGTGAAGGAGCTGCAGGATCCGTTTCTGTCTCCTTCTCCAATCCAACGGGGCCACGCTAGAAAAGGTATCAACACCAGGAGCAGCAACCGTCGTGTCCTTTTCTTCGGGTTGACATAAACTGTCTTTATTGTCACTCGGAGGCAATCTGAGTGGAGAGTCCACAGGACTTGAGGCAGGGCTCACGGTTGGATGTGTGCTTGTCGTCACACTATGCTCCGGTTGTATTTTTACCGCACCAAACTTTGAACGGGACGTCTTACCTGCCTTCTTCCCCGTGTTTTTTCGAAGCGATTTCCCCAATAACGCTGGCGCCGTCTTTATTTCCAAACGACTACTGGAAGAAAGGGAGGAGGAGTGCCTCTCCACCGCCGACCCCACGGGTCCCGAGAAACCCTCAGGTAACTGCAAATCCTCCACGGACGCAACATCATGAGGCGCCCGGGTAGACGCATGCTGAAACACCGGGAGCGCACCGGGGTGGTCCTTAACATCTGTTCCTTTATCCTGGGCATCTACTGCCATGACAGTACGGTGAGGTGCCGAATAACTACTGCTAGTGCTACTGTTGTTGGTGTTTTTCTTCCTGTCGTCGGTGAAGGTGCTGGTGTGAGCGTCGCCACGTGTTTTATGTGTGGCTGTGAAGAACGACGAAACCGCCGCCGCCGCCGCCGTTTTCGTACCAGCAGGCATCCCATGGCTTTTCATCGCCGCCTCACTGCCGGGCTCATTGTGGTCCTTCCCTTCACCGGGTGAAACAAATGAGTCCACGTACGCCTTACCGAACTGCTGTACCTCCGACACGATGCTTGACATGTAGTTTGAAAGGTTCATCGCCTCTTTTCAAACTGTGGGCGCAAACACCAGAAACGGGATAGAAAGAAAAGGCATAAATTGACGTTGAGTAGAGCAGCAACACACAGACAGAGACACAAATGAGGAAACTAAAAAGGCTTCTATTTTTTAAATTTTTATTTGCCTGCCCACAGTGTGTGTGTGTGTGTGTGTGTGTGTGTGTGTTTCTGAAACAGTAGCAAACAGTCAGAGAGAAGGAGCCGTAAAAAATGGATTGACATTTCCTTTACACATCACTTTGCATTCGTACAGTCCCTTCTCTCTCCCTTCTCCTCTCATTTCCCTCTCCGCATAAATAATAGTAAAAAAAACAACACCTCTCCTTCCTCTGTCCCCAATTTCATACTTTTTCCTTCTACCGCCTCAAAAAAAAAAAAAAAAAAAAAACAAAAACGCAAAACCAAAGGCATACATAAATACATACATAGATTAAAAAAAAAAAAAGACAAACGGTTCTACTTCGTTTTTTCTTTTTCATTCTTCCATTCTCTGCCCGCCAGGCAACTCTTTTGGGTGTCTGATATGCCCTCCGTCAGTGAAAAGCAGCTGTTCTTCACCCATGCCTGCGTCCCCTGCGTCATATTGCCTCGAACAGTCGGCAGTATTACAGGCAACGACATCTCCTTCTGTGGCTCAAGTTCGCGCCTCGCCGACGTGAGTGGTCGCCGCTGCAGGGGCATACCGCCCGCTGTATCCACGCAGGTGCTTTGGCTGCACAGAGAAGGCAGTATGACGGACAAAGCCGTCGTGTTCACTGACATCTTGACGCCGCGGCTGATCTTAGATACGGCGCCGAGGATTTTTTGTGGCTCCTTGGCTGGAGGTAAATATCGGCCCCGCACAGGGGACGGCCCCGTTTCCTCACAGAAGCGGCTGTCCTGCCTCTTCACCTCCCGCAGTGCCAGAGACTTGTAAAACATGGAAAAGTCACTAAAGTCGACAACACACGGCAGCGGCTCCTTTTGGGCAGTCGGGAACGCGAGATTTTCCACCTCGCGTCTGGACATGGAGAGTTCATCGCAGATGGTCAGCATCACAAAGTCCACAAAGTCGCCGCGATCCAAAACTCCAAAATTGCCGCAATCCACGCCGTCAAAAAAGAAACGAAAGGTTTCAATGTCCTCGATGCTGAGCGGGATATCAGCCGTGCGCTCGTTCTTCATCCGCACCATCAATCGCCTAAGAAGGCAGACGGAGTCTCGTTTGCACTGCGCGATAAATTGAAGACGAAGGCTTTCTTCACGAAAGGTCGACCGCTTATACGGCGCTACCACTTCTAACTCGACCCTCGCGTCTGTCCGAATTGCCGCACTCGGGGAGGCGTCGCCACATGCCGCCCGCAGACGTTCAAGAAGAGACAAATGCTGTGGATTTTCTCGACCTCGCAAGACCGCCTGCTGCTTGGCAAGACGGTCCACAATACCGCGTAACACCGTCTCCAGCTTTACATCCTCGCGTCGCATTTCATACTCCGCTGCTTCTCTCTGGAACTCGGCATCCTCATAGAGCCGTAGCTCGGAAAGGGGAACACCATGTGGCAGGGGTGAAAGGAACGGGTATTTCCCAAATATTTCTTCATTCTCTGCCTCCTTCCGCTCCGACCACTCACGGAGGTAATGCACAATATTCTCTCCGCTTTCTTTAGGGCGGGCATTTAGCATTTCGTACAGACGCCTATCCTGTGCCAGTTCCTCATTAGAAATGTGCGCCCACGGTTGTGGTACACAGCGTGGGTTCGTTACGGGAAAGACACCGGAATCCATTTCCTCCTTGCTGACGCCCCCTAATGTCTCTGCGCCCCTCACAATCTTCTGACGTCGCTGCTGACGCGTCGATGGTGGAAGATGGACCAATCCAGGCAAATTTGGCTCCTTCGACATGTCAATAACACGTTGCACCGCTGAGGAAAATATTTCCTTCAAAAACGCATCGACGATGGCAGCCCGCCGCATCGCAAAAGCCTGGGAGATTTCATCATACTTGAAGACCAACGCCATCGCCGCGGAATCACATTCAATTTCCTCAGCCGTGACACTCCGTGATAAATACTGCTGTGCATTCAACAAAACTTCGGAAATTAAGCGTCTCTCCCGTTCAAGCTCCCGTGCCTCTCGCCGGTCGCTGGGGAAGGCCTTAGAAAAGCCAAAGGAGCAAAGACGACGTCTTCTAGTTTTCGTTGGGCTCGCAGTCACGTCGTCTTGAACGGAGAGGAGGTCACCCTGATCCAACTGCTCTATGGAACTGGGACGGTGTTGTGAGATTGTGCGAAGTCTTCGCGCTGACCGCTCAGACCCTTGGAAGGGTGGCCGAAAATTCGAGTCCAAAAACCCGCGTCCGGCCGACGGGAATTCGTCCTTCATCGTATCCCGTATTTCGCCATATGTATCCTCTTCCAAGTGCAAAAAAACCAAAGAACTTTTGTTGTTGTTTTGTTTCATCCTCAGGCGTCGTTTCCTTTCACTCGGTCTTTTCGCCAAATGAGAAGTTGATGCCCCCTTCGCCACACTTTCCTCTGCCACGCTTTTTCCTGAGGGCACGGGGTAAATCTTTGGTAGCCTCAGGGGGGGTGTTGGAATTGACACATCGGACACACTCAAGCTATGCAAGCGTACATCTGTCATGCTAACTCGGGCTGTGAGGGTACACCCGGGTGAAGGCCTGCTTTCCATAGCCAGATGTGGAAAATTTGGCTCTCGACTTTTCTCCTGGTCACGCACCGGGGAGACCAAAGGATAGGCTTCACGCGCAGAATCCTTCCTGCGTGGGACGGTGTCGGATGGATGCGGTGGTGGTGCCTCCGGCGCCCCTTCGTTCAGAAGCATGACGCCCTCCTCCTCCGGTGCGGGGAACATCACAGTCGACGTGCTGGCGCTCTTCCGCCGTTGTTTCCTCGGGAAACTATGAAACGACAGTTTCTCTTTACCTGACCCAGACACGCACTTATTACTCAGCCGCGGTTTTTCTGGTTGCTGTTTTAACGCATGTTTCGGAAGATTCCGAGAGACATTTGACCCCTCGTTTAAGTTTTCCGTTCCAGTTTCCACCAGTTCACCCGCCGGCAAGTCGGGAATACTGCTGACCGCCAAATGCGTAAAACTGGTCTTATGACCATGACGCAGCTTCATGCGTCGCCTTACTACATACTTCGTCTCCTTTCTCATTTGTGCTTGCTTCGTCTGTTTTGCTGCTTGGGAGACCGGGCCCCTCCACCTCAGTGCTGATGCGTGCACATCAACCATCCCATTGCCGGAACCACCACTCTCAGCGGCTGACTGTGACGCCGCACCGCTCTCAAGAATATCAGCGGCGTCGATGTCTTCAATGCCATCCAATGCCACATACCGACTCGCGCGACGGTTTCGTAGGCGACGCAACATCAACACACGCTTTCTCTCATTACTTGATACCGCCAGGTTTTTGTTCTCATCAACGCCTACAGGAAATTCGGCACGCGACGTGCCGCTACTGAAGATGCGACTCGTCCTATTACTACAGGGGGGGAAGTGCAAAAGTTCGTTTTCCTCCATGATCTCAATGGGGGTATTATCGGGCACATCTATGAAAGAAGTCGTGGAGGCGCTGGTACAGGAGTTCGACCGCTTCCTGCGCTGCCGCACGGATGGCCGTTGCGCATCCTCCCAATCTTCATTAGTCACCTCGAGGAACGACACGGCACGATGAGAAGAACGCCGTGCCAACAACTGGTGACGCCACAGCGACGTCAACTCCTCCGCCGTCATTTCACAAATTCCCTTATTTTTTGACTTTTCACATGCCTTTTGGGAGGCCACCACATACCTCTCATCAAGCAGAAGCTCCACACCCCGATTTCTTTCCTCCTCCTCTAATGATTCAATTAACTCCACCTCCGTATATTCCTGTAGCAAAGACAGCCGTTTTGTTTCAAGCCGTTGAAACTTCGTGTCAAACGCAACGGCAGGATTTAAGTCTCTCACGCACATGGGATACTGCGCCCGCAATACATTCAACTCCGTCGCAATGCCGCGTTCCGCCAACGCCTGTGTCTCGCCCATGCGCCGTACAATAACATCTAAATCATCACCCGTCCCCAGGCTATCCAGCGCCTTTTCCATTGCGTCAGAGCCCATTAATAGAACAAATGGAAAAGCCGCTTGTAGATCGGGTGACAATCCCCGTTTGCGCATCGAAGACCAAATGGAATCATACCGTTTTAACTGCCTTTCGGCAATTATTTCCGCACGCCCACACAGAAGTTCATCAAACATACGCAGTCGTTCTAAATCAATCTCTTCTACGCCAAGCGTCGCCAGTCGCTTTTTGTAGTAATCTCGAAACTTTGCATCATCCATGAGATTCAGAAACCGCAAAGGAACCAGCTTCACCTCGTTCGACTCCAGGAAGGGGTTACGCGCACGCACCGCCTCGTCCTCGTCGGTGCGGAACGCGTCCACCGCCTTTTTCGCAGCAGCAAGCTCGCTCGCTCGCCCGCGCAGTTGGCGCTCCGTCGCCGTAAGCAACTCAGGATTGCTGCCAGGCCCTGCCGCCACCAGTGCGTCACGCCTGGCCACCAGCTCCTGAAACACGCCGTCCTCCGCAAGGCGCAGGTCGCTCATAAGCACGTCATCCACGCGTCTCGGAAGAAATGGGTAATTGCGTTGCTCCTCTTCGGTTGCCTGCAGCTTCGCAGAACCAAGCTCCATCGCCCGCGCACGCACCGCCCTCTCCGTCGCCGCAATCTGTTCCGCATTTTTGGTCGGGTCAGCGCGCAGACCGTCCAGCTCGTGCGACAGCGCGCGAAACACGGGATCCTCCACCAAACCCACTTCCACAATGGCAACACCGGGCGCCGGCTCCTCCGGCAGGCACGGGTGCTTCTCATGCAGGTTCTCGGTTTCCACAAGCGCGCGGCGCCGGGCCTCCACCACGTCCTCCGCAATTCTCTTCGCCAAATCCCGCATCGCTCTCTCCAGCCGCTTTGCCTCCGCGCCGCCAGCACGATCGGGGTCCTCGCACAGAGCCGCGTGTTTCGCAAGGAGAGCCACAAACTCGGGGTTGCTCTCCAGGTGCAGCTCACGCAGCGTCACGTCAAATGGAAGATGCATCAGGTGCGGCCATTGCGCCCGCAACTCATTCTCCTCATTGATGGCGTTTGATACTAGTGCATCCCAGCGTTCTCGGATTTGCTTCTCCTTCACATTTACCGCCCGCGATGCCGTTCTTAATGGTCCAAGCAGCTCCTCTCGCTCTGCCGCCAGTTTTGTAAAGATGGGATCCCCCATAAGACCGAGTTGTGCGATGCTAGTGCCGTTAATGGTTTTGGATAAGAAAGGGAATCGCTGCAGCAATTCCTTTGGCGGTGTCAGTAGTTCCTGACGTTCCGCCACAAGGCGCATGAAATCAGCGTCCTGTTCAAAAGGGATCCGCGAATGCGAAAGATCTCCAAAAGGAACGTGCAAATAAAAGTACTTTTTCTGCAGTTCAGACTCCACCCGGTTTTCAGCAAGTTGCGCCTGAGTGACATCCGTGTTGAGCTGCAACACACGTCCTTTCATCATCTCTGTCAGACAACGGACGGCAGGGGAGGGTGCACCAAGCAACTTCCTTGTCTTACATTGCTGCAGGTACAAGTAGTATGAGTCCTCTGCACTCAGGGTGCTTGCTGCTTTTGCGGCGAACAAAGTTTCCTCGTCCGAAACCGTCACCTCCTCGTCCCCCTCTCTGTAATGCGTGAAAAACTTCAAGTGAAGACGGCGGCGATTCTGCCGTGCACGCCAAAGTCGGTGTTTGTACTGCGCCACGTCCCTTTCAGAAGACAAGCCCTTTATATGTTGCCGCGAGCACTTTGCATCACATGCCTTCTTCAGCTCCTCATCCGCAATGGAGTACGCCTCAAGCGCCGCAAAGACACAGCGCTCGTCGTTTATGAAAAAAATTGACCGATTCAACTGTTCATTCTCAATAAGTTCAACAGCGCGCACATCTGCATCATCCGCCGCCAGCGCCTCTTGCCGCGTACGCTCCATTATGCAGAGCACATCGTCACTTCGAAGCGCTGGATTGGCATCCCTTATGCACGTGGGAAATTCTCGCCTCAGCGACTGCAACTCGTTGGCCACCTCACGTTCTGCCCGGTCATAAGAAGCCCTCAACTCATCCACACGCAGCTTTATCCTTTCACGCAGGGTAAGTACACCAGGAGAATCTACCGACTTACCAGAGCCAAGACGCCCATTCAACATCTCCAACAAATCCCCAACGCATTCATCTCCATGAAGATTCAACTCGCATAAAAAGCTCCCCACAGAACTATCAAACGACCCAACATAACCAAAACCCGCACGCAACGACTCTTCCTCAAGAAAAACATTGTCAGCTAACAATCGAAAACGACGTATGAGATCAGCATCAGCTTGAAAAATACCAAAAGCATCACCCAAAGCCAACGCACGATAGCGCTTCCGTTGAAAAGCGTTTGAAGAACGATCCTCCTCCAAGGAAACAAGCCGCAAAGGAACCAGCTTCACCTCGTTCGACTCCAGGAAGGGGTTACGCGCACGCACCGCCTCGTCCTCGTCGGTGCGGAACGCGTCCACCGCCTTTTTCGCAGCAGCAAGCTCGCTCGCTCGCCCGCGCAGTTGGCGCTCCGTCGCCGTAAGCAACTCAGGATTGCTGCCAGGCCCTGCCGCCACCAGTGCGTCACGCCTGGCCACCAGCTCCTGAAACACGCCGTCCTCCGCAAGGCGCAGGTCGCTCATAAGCACGTCATCCACGCGTCTCGGAAGAAATGGGTAATTGCGTTGCTCCTCTTCGGTTGCCTGCAGCTTCGCGGAACCAAGCTCCATCGCCCGCGCACGCACCGCCCTCTCCGTCGCCGCAATCTGTTCCGCATTTTTGGTCGGGTCAGCGCGCAGACCGTCCAGCTCGTGCGACAGCGCGCGAAACACGGGATCCTCCACCAAACCCACTTCCACAATGGCAACACCGGGCGCCGGCTCCTCCGGCAGGCACGGGTGCTTCTCATGCAGGTTCTCGGTTTCCACAAGCGCGCGGCGCCGGGCCTCCACCACGTCCTCCGCAATTCTCTTCGCCAAATCCCGCATCGCTCTCTCCAGCCGCTTTGCCTCCGCGCCGCCAGCACGATCGGGGTCCTCGCACAGAGCCGCGTGCTTCGCAAGGAGAGCCACAAACTCGGGGTTGCTCTCCAGGTGCAGCTCACGCAGCGCCACGTCAAATGGAAGATGCATCAGGTACGGCATCTGCTCGCGCAGCGCAGCCTCCTGTCTCACTACTGCAGCAGCCAGGTGCGCGGCACGCGCCTTCAAACACTGCTCCTTCGCCGCCAGAGCCTCGGCGTTCTTCTCCGGTGACGCTGCGAGCACCGTGTGTTCCTCCGCGAGCCTCGTAAACTCCTCGTCCTCTGAAAGCCCGAGTTTACTAAGGGGAAGGCCTGCGAGCGCCACACCATCCAAGTACGGGTGCTGCTCCAGAAGCCACTGCTCTCTGCGCGCCTCAGCCTTCGCCGCCTTCCGTTCGTCAGAGCGCAGCTGCTGCATGCGGCGCCGCATCTGCTCCTCCACACACTGGATCGCCGGGGCATTCACCTCCCTGCCCTCCACCACCAGCGCGTCACGCAGGACGCCAAGTTCCTGGAAGTACGGGTCGCTTTTGACAACAGAGGACGCAATTAGCGGCTTCTGTGACAGCTGCGCATCTTCATCGATGATCTCACCCGTCTCGCCCTCCGGAATGATGCACGCATGCAGCTGTCTTGCATGCCTCTGACGCTGGCGACGTGCCCGGTAGTCAGAGACTTCCCTGTCGTCGGGCTCAACGTCGTCAAAGGCAAAAAGCCCATCGGGCTGCAAAGGCTTCCCACGGCGCTTGCGTGCGGCCTCCACCTCGAGACCGCGCCGGTGCAGAATGTTGTCCACATCAGCAATCGCGTCAGCGTTTCCCACAGGGTCCTTCAGTAGCTCCGAGCGTCGTGCAATGAGACCTGCAATTGTGGGGTCCTTCGCCACCGCGTCCCCCACGTCACGCGCGCACATGGGATACTGCGCGTGGAGGGCATTGCGCGCTTCCGCAGCCGCCTGCTCTGCCTCTTTTTCCTCGCTCAACAGTCGGGCTGCGCTCTGCAGAAGTGCATCCTTCACCGTCTCCAGCTCCGACTCATCCACCTCCGGCTGCGCCGCAAGTTCCTCGTAGCGAGCAGCCAGTGTCGCAAAGAGTGGACTCCGTTTTATATCCTCATTTGCCAGCAACACAGCCCCTGGCAATGCCGCAAAGAACGGGTACTTGGCTAGCAATACGTCCTCAGCCGCTGCACGTGCCAGCGCGAGCTCCTCCACGCGCCCCCGTAGCGCTTCCTCCGTCGCAGCGATGGCAGCTGCGTTCCTCACAGGGCTCTGCATCAACTGCAGCCGCTCGTTTGCCAGCGCCGCGTAAGTGGGGTCGCTCGGGAGACCAAACTCGCGCAGGGGGACCAGCTTCACCTCGTTCGACTCCAGGAAGGGGTTACGCGCACGCACCGCCTCGTCCTCGTCGGTGCGGAACGCGTCCACCGCCTTTTTCGCAGCAGCAAGCTCGCTCGCTCGCCCGCGCAGTTGGCGCTCCGTCGCCGTAAGCAACTCAGGATTGCTGCCAGGCCCTGCCGCCACCAGTGCGTCACGCCTGGCCACCAGCTCCTGAAACACGCCGTCCTCCGCAAGGCGCAGGTCGCTCATAAGCACGTCATCCACGCGTCTCGGAAGAAATGGGTAATTGCGTTGCTCCTCTTCGGTTGCCTGCAGCTTCGCGGAACCAAGCTCCATCGCCCGCGCACGCACCGCCCTCTCCGTCGCCGCAATCTGTTCCGCATTTTTGGTCGGGTCAGCGCGCAGACCGTCCAGCTCGTGCGACAGCGCGCGAAACACGG